TTAAAGTAGTGGTTAGGATTGGGGTGATGTTGCAGTGGACTGATCATAAATGTTTGATTCGAGCGGGGATACCAGGTCCATTAGAGCGGAGCCCATTGAGCCTGGTGTGCCTTGAGTGCCTTGAGTGCCTTGAGTGTCGTCCAGAAGGTTCATGGCTTGAAGAGGCGAAGCCAGATCCGCAGGGATGGAACAAGAGCTTCCATTCAGGAGGTTCCCAGCAGGGGAGTTTGGCTCGGATGCTGGCAACGGCACCTAGAAAGAGTCCAGAAGCGAGGGGTTTTAGGTAATGGCAAACTAAAAGCTCGTAGCATACACGTCAAATAACATCATGGTGCCTCACCTGCGCTGCTTCCTTGAGCCGAGCAACTGCAAACGGTGTTGCAAATACGTCCTCTGGTGTGTAGGGTATACCCGCCGAGGGGGGCGTGCTGACCGGGGACTCCGAGTAGATGGTGGACAAGGTGTTGATGGACGCGAGCGACGGGCGGCACTGTTGCTCGCCCTGGGGTTCGGGCGACATCGCAGCGCCTGTGATTGACTCGAGCGTCTCCAGAGCGTCCTCGAGCGTCTCTGCGGCCACCCTGTCCGCCGCAGTCACCTCAGCCTCGGCAGCGATCAGCCGCTCCGACGGGGTGGCGTCCTGGGGCGCCGCGGCCGTGACCTGGACCGGGACCGGCGCCTCTGGGGCCGGCGCCTCCACCGACGAGGCGGGCTGCGGTTGCTCTGCAACCGGCAACTCTACCGGGGCCGGGGCGGCTGTCGGCGAGGAAGGGTCCGAGCACGCGGACGAGTTGAAAGAGTCGTCAGCGTCCTGGAGGAGGGCGCGGAGCTTCTTGCGCTGCAGCTTGCCGCTGGCCGTACGGGGGAACGGCACAGACATGAAGGTGATGCCGCCCCGCAACTGCTTGTGCGGTGCCACCTTGCCTGCGGGGAAAGAGGAGCAGTCAGATCCACAGAATCAAACAGCTAGAGACTCCAACGCACGAGTTGCGGAACTTGAGCACATTCTCACCCGATATGAACTGGCAAAGCTCCTCCTCAGTGACGCGATGTCCGTCGGCCACCCGCACCAGGGCGCGCGGCGCCTCGCCGTACTCGTGGGGCTCGCCGATGACGGCCGCCTCGCACACGGCCGGGTGCGTGATGAGCAGCGCCTCCAGCTC